GCATGCTAGCCAGGGCCCAACAATTCTTGCAGTTTTCTAAAAAGGAAAATGAATATGAGTATATTTCCATATATGTTATAGGCTGAACTGTTTTCCCCCAAAATTTATATGTTGAAGTCCTAATCCCCAGTACCTCTGAATATGACTGTATTTGGAGATCAGATCCCTGAAGGTAATTAAGGTAAAATAAAGTCACATGAGTGAGCCCCAATCCAATATGACTGGTGTCTTTATAAGAGGAGGAAATTTGGTTGGACACAGACCTGCGCATGCACAGAGGAAAGCCCGTGGGAGGACACAGTGAGAAGGTGGCCATCTGCAAGCTAAAGAGAGAGGCCTCAAAAGACATAAAACCTGAGGGAACCTTGTTCTTGGACTTTCAGTTTCCAGATTTGTGAGGAAATGCATTTCTATTGTGTGAGCCACCCATTGTGTGGTATACTGTCAACGTTCCCCAAGCAAACGAACACAACATCATTCCTCGTTGCATAAACGGACTCTGTCTCAGCCACAGCGACATGCCGCTCCCTGTCCAAGGGGCCACTGCCTGCATTTCTGAAAAACATCACGCACGCCACTGAGCCCACGCACACGCTGGGTTTCTTCCCACAATGCCAGATGTCTCCATCATTTCTCTAGGTATTACTTAACATGCTTTCTCTCAGATTCTTTGGTGCCAGGCTTCCAAATGTATCGATGAGCCTATAGCAGGAATTGTCTGTTTATGTAACACAATGTGGGAAGACTCAGGAACATAAATTTCTAATTCCACAAATCCTAGGAGAGGTGCGCTTAAGAGCTCGGTAAAATATTTGTAGATAATGTGTTACTCTAATTTGAATTTCATTTTAACATAGGTAGCTTTTTTAAGAGTCTTTTTGACTTCAAGGAGCACAGAACCTAAGTCTATGCTTATGCTAAGATTTAGGTTCAAAATATGTACTTTCACCTGTACAAACATTCAGTAATATGACCACGTTAGTCAGGACTTAGCTGCACGTGAGAGAAGCACAATTCACACTAAGCTTGGGCAGAATGGAGAATGTATTGTGAGGGCCCCAGGACTGGGAGGCTGATGTGCTGGGCAGCAGGGTCTCTGAAAAACAGAACCTCAGGCAACCTGAGGAGACAAAGCTGACTGCCTGGGGGAGGTGGCTCCACAATCCACTTCCCTTCTGCACTCCAGAGGAACAGACTGATGAGCCTAAGAGAACCCATGGCAGAATTTGAGCAGCACCTTTAGCTGCATTCTCACATAGTGCTTCTCAGCTGTGAATGCTGTCAGCTACAGTGTGTGTGTGTGTAGGGCGGGGCACTCTCCTCCATGAGTAAGGAGGTCTGAGAAAGTGGTGACAAGCAGGAGAGGGAGATACTCTCCCAGGGCCTCCTCGCTAATTCCTACATATCCTTCAGCTTCAGCCTCGCTTCCCTAGAGTAGCCTTCTCTGCCTTTCCAGATAAGGCTAGCTTCCCTGTGAGGTGCCTCTATAGCAACCTACATGTTTCCAATACTCTTGAATTCTTGCAATTATTTAATTTTTCATTTGATTCTCACTAGACTATTAATTCCCAGATAGCAAGGAGTGTCAATTCTATGTCCTTAGTGCCTAGTTATGCACCTGGGATGAATGTAAAAAACATTCACATCTATGTTCACTGACCAGTAGGATAATAGTAGAGTTAATTCTGCATCTACTGTAGTCTACTCCGGCCCAAATCTAGTAGCTGAAGGCAAGACATGTTAGCCCCTGTAAAATGGGCCGATCCTCATTCAGCCTGCCCTCTGGTCTGTTCAAGTGGCCATTGTGGTTCAAGATAGTCCAAAAATTCAGGCACGATCCTCTCTGTGCTGTGATGAAGGAGGTGGAGGAGAAAGAGCAGGAGGGGGAGGGAAAAAGGAGAGGAAGATGGAAAAGGAACAGGAAATCATACCGGCCTTAGAATTGGGAGGTCCAGGAGTTCTACAGTGTACAGTGAAGAGAACAGCAGCTGGTGAACTGTAGTACTTTGATAATAGAGCAGTTTTGTTAAAATCGCCATTTTCCTGAGCCTTTGGCTTTTTAGGTCCAGAGTAAGAATTCGCCTCTCCCTTTCTGTGCTCACCCAGCAGCTTGCACATTTCTCTGCCACAACATATCCTAGTTATCAAAGGGTCCATCTGCTCAACTAGATGGCGATGCTGGAAGGCAGCGTCTATGCTTTCTTCATATAAATACCTCAGGGCCTATGGAAAGGGGTTGCCACACCTTCCAGGCTCAGTAAGTGTTTTACAGATACACTGTAGATGGACAAGAACATCCTGAAGAGGACAGTGGTACCCAAGACAGCTGGGTGTAGCTGACTTTGATGACCAGTTATTCAAGGTTGTACCCTCAATACATGATGAGAATGTTCCTTCACATTCAGTTCTGTTTTCCAGGCACAGGTATTCTCTCCTGAAATTGTTACAATAAGTCCATGAGGTAAGTGCCATTATTTTCCTTTTACAAAAATAGTGGCTGAGACCCAAAGAGGCAGAAATGCTGCTCAAGTTGGAAAGTGTCAGTCAGTAGTAAGTGGGTCTCTGACTCTGTGCCAGTCCAGCCTCTAGAGTTTTATTCTATTTTATTTTTAAATCTCTGTCAACATGCTGTCCTGTCACAGGAATAAAATGAAGAATGAAACCTAAAGAGTGTTCTGTGCCTCAACTAAAAAATACTTCTCACCTGAGGATATGGTTTTATTGCTTTTTGGAGAGAGAGATTAAGAGAGAGAGAGGGGGGGGGCGAAGAAAGAAGAAGAGAAGAGGAGAGGAGAGGAGAGGAGAGAGAGAGAGAGAGAGAGAGAAAGAGAGAGAGAGAGAGAGAGAGAGATGAGAGAAACATCAATCAGTTGCCTCTCACACCAGCCCCATCTGGGGACTGAGCCACCACCTGGGCATGTGCCTTAACCAGGAATTGAAAACTTCGATGTGAGAGAAACATAAATTGGTTGCCTCCTGTATGCGCCCCAACTGGAGATCGAACTCAGGTATGTGCCCTGACTGGGAATCGTACTTGCAACCTTTTGGTGTACAGGACAGTGCTCCAACCAACTGAGCCACCTTGCTAAGGCCTAACAAAGTATTTTAAATAAAGTAGGTTCTGAATTTATATTTGACTTAAATGCTCCCGAAGGGTGCTAGAACAACTTTGCTAAGGGTTGTCACTCTAGTACTCTTATCTTGCTAACCAAATCCAGAGCCAGGCCATGGAAGAATTATTCTACTTCATGGTTATCCAAAAAGTGCTCATGAAATTAGCAGTTTCCCACGGGACACCATTTTATTTGATGCCCAATATGGCAGACCCACCAAGGAACACACTGCTTGGTTTTTAGCTTGCTTTCCTCTTTACACCTCAACAGCAGCCTCAGTCCTGTCTGAAACATCTTTGATTCTTTGCCAAATAACCTTTAAATGACCTTGTATTAAAGGCTG